GGATGGAAAGGAAGAAGGAAGAAAAAGAAGAAGGAGAGGAAGAAGAGATGGAGGAAGGGTGGGAGGGAGCCTTGGAGGCAGATGATGGATTTGCAGGCCGCGGGGCAGACAGTTCTGGGTGGCCTCTGAGACCAGAGGCTGGAGATGCTAAGTGAGCAGCAGTCTTGTCTGTGGAGAAGCTCTGGCTTGTGCAGTTAAAGATGGCCCATTCAGAAAATCACCATTGGAACCCAAAAGGCCTCTGGGCTGGAAAGGCGAGTTCATTCTGCCCTTCTGGGCAAGCACAGAGCAAGCCACCACCTAACCTTCCTTTTCCAGACAGATGGCTGGGTTACATACTCCTGCCTTGCAGCCTGAATAATACTCAATAGGGGGAGGGGCTTAGCGCAAACCCAGGATCTGATTTCAGATTAGGCCTAACTGCAGACTAGGGGAAGAAACCCAAGGCATCTGCAATCTCCCCCCAAGGGAGGCTCTTAGGCAAGTAGGTAGGGTTCCCTTACTGGGCACCAGTCTCTGTTGCAGGCTCTGGGGATGCTGTAGCCCTGCGCTCAGGGATCTTAGATTCTCCAGAGGGGACAGAAAGAGTACATAAACCTATGAATAACTAAAATAACTTTATAGAGGCACCTGGGTGGCTCTGTGGGTTAAGCATCCAACTACAGCTCAGGTCATGATCTCATGGTTCATGGGTTCGACGGCCCCCCCCTTCAGATCAGGCTGTGTGCTGGCAGCTCTGAGCCTGGAGCCTGCTTTGGATTCTGTGTCTCCCTCTCTCTGCCCCCCCGCTCATGTTCTCTCTCTCTCTCCCTCTAGCTCTCTCAAAAAGAAACATTAAAAATTAAAAAAAAAAATTAAATCCATTTAGAAAGTGGAGAGAATAAACAGGATGGCGTGCTAATGCTTGGCCTGGAGTGGGGACCACACAAAAGGGTGCCATTAGACAAAGGGACCAGGGAATGCTTCTCTAAGGATGAAACCTTCCAGCCAAAGCCTGAATGTTGCTGTAACTGCAACTCCAGAGGTTCAGTGCTTGGAGTATGTCAAACTGAACACGACCCGTGGAAGAGTTGAAAGTAAAGAACTTTTCGTCACTTGTTGTGAGTAAGGAGATGTGGATGTGCCGCAGTGTAACCAAATACTCAGTGAAGGACATTTAGTTTGTTCCCTGTTTCTGGCTATTACAAATATAGCTACAGTCCACATCTGGGTACAGACATTTGAACCTAAGTTTTCACTTCTCTGGGATAAATGTCCCAAGATTTCTGTTGCTGGGTCATAACGGTAAATGCATGCTTAGTTTTGTAAAAAACTGCCAGATTGTCCCCCAGAGTTGCTGTGTCACTTTACGTTCTCACCAGCACTGTAGGAGTGCTCCAGTGTCTCTGCACCAGAGCCAGCATTTGCTGTGTGTAACATTTAAAAATTTTGCATTTGGTTTCTTCATTTGTTGTGGTCATTGTGATTTTCCCCCTGCCTCTTTGCTGTTCAAAAGCTGCATATTCCATTTTTGTTCTTATGGAAATTCTGAACTTAAATTTTTGCTTAATTTCATATAGAGCATAAGTGGAAGGCCTTTTGGGAAGAGCTGGTAGTTCAGAACATAAGCTGGAGGGCAATGGTAGGCAATAAAGTCATCAAATCTTGAGGCCTGTTGTGCCCGAATCACGAGTCCCCAGAGAACATCAAGGAGCCGACACCGATCCAAGTACATAAGGGTCTTTATTACAAGCTCGAGCAGGGGCTCACCTGTCAACCTGCACAGCAGCAGCAAGGTGAAGCCCTGAACAATGGCGAGCAGGGTTTTTTGGGGTAAGGGACGGGGGGGGGAGGGGAGGGCGTGTGTTACGGTGCACACATTGTAAGTATGGCATCATCACATAAGCTCCAATTACAATTGTACAGCACCCATGGTAATAGTTTTGACCATTCAGTATCTGTGAGGTGTCCGTTACTTTTGGCGGGACCCAATCATAACCTTCCAGAATCCTTTGAAAATGACCAATTATGAGGTGAGTTCAAAGGGCCCACTGGGGTTTAGGCAAGTGGTGGGTGAGTGATTGGCTAGTATGTACAAAGTAACTATCTGCAGTCCTGACTCAGACCACAGGAATGTTACACATTTCTTTTGATTGGCTGATCCGAGGGTGGTCCGAGGGTGGCTTTAGCTGAAGCTTTTCCTGGAACTGGGGCTACGTGCAGCCCAAGGTTGCTCTTAATGGAGGACTTAATTTCAGGCTCCTCAAGGCCATGCTGTGGAAACCTTCAGATTTTTTTTTTTTTTAAAGTAGGTCTCATGCCCAGCATGGAGCTCAACATGGGGTTTGAACTTATCACCCTGAGATCAAGACCTGAGGTGAGATCAAGAGTTGGATGCTTAACCGACTGAGCCACCAAGGTGCTCCCAAGATATTCTTGAATAATTAAAACAGAACTTTAAAAATAACTTAGGGGGCACCTGGGTGGCTTAGTCAGTTGGGTGTCTGACTTTCGCTTAGGTCATGATCTCGCAGTTCGTGGGTTCGAGCCCCGCATCGGGTTCTGTGCTGACTGCCAGCTCAGAGCCTGGAGCCTATTTCAGAGTCTGTGTCTCCCTCTCTCTCTGACCCTCCCCTGCTCACGCTGTCTCTCTCTCTCTCTCTCCTAGAAATAAATAAAAATTAAAAAAAAAAGAAAAACTTAAAATGCCCTGTAGTCTACTTCACTGCCAGTGGCTTAGTTGCTACTAATGTAAAGCATTATTCTTGCAGTAGACTAAAATTTTTAGACTGGACTGAAGATAAAACTAAGAAAATTTAAATAAAAACTAAGTATACCTTAGAGTGGCTGTCTTGCACCTAAAATTCTAATTGCAGTGGCTATCATATGCCCAAATTGTAAGAGGGGAGGTTGGGGATTGGTGTATCTTCGGAGGGAAAAGGAGTTGCAGATGGCAGCCTCCTTCTGGAAGTCAGAAGCATTACAGAAAAATGTACTGGTATGGTAAGACTATCTTCTGTTCATTCTTACCAACCATGAAGTTTTATTGCTTGAAACAAAATGTTAACAGTGCCTGTCCCTGAGTGATGGTATAAGTAGATAGCAACATCAGATGTGGGTTTTCTTTCTGACATTTTCCAAAATTTCTACAGTTTTATTTACTAGGAAAAGTAATTTAAAAATGACTTGTCAGTTTTGTTTTTTACAAAATTGGGCTCAATTTATGTATTCTGCTGTTAATACGATATTGAGCATTTTTGTAAGTCAATAGTCTTTGAAAACATATATTTTGAATGGTTGTTTAATGTCCCATGATACAATTATATCATCATTTATTTGTTCTTTTTTCTGGGCTTTCACTCTTATAATGGTGTAATGAAGTTACTTGACCACAAATTTTTGTGTCCATTTCTGCACAGATTCATATAATTGAAATTATTTGGTCACACTGTATGAATTCTTTTAGGGCTCATAATACATTACTATATTGTACTACAGAGTTTTAGCACCATAATCAATTCCTATGTGAGCTCATTGTATTGGACTTTGCTCAGCACTGGGCATTTCCACTGTAAAATCTTTGCCAATTTGGTAGGGAAAATTTCTTTGCTGTCAGCAATAAATACTTTTTCACATTTTATTGGCTATGAGTTATTTGTTGCTGGTTTTTTTTTTTTTTCCCGTTTTTCAATTTGTGTCAGGATTTTTTCTAATTAATTTACACAAGCAACCTTTCCCCTAGTTTTGATTTTTTTAGATGCACAATTTTACATTTTTACAGTCAAATCTTTAGATTTCTTTGTAATTTATTTACATTCCTTCTCTATCCAGAGATTAGATAAATATTCATGTAAATGTTCTTACCATCTGTGCTCCAGATCTTTTCAGGCAGTAGTCATGTTTTCAGATAGCTTCTTTGTACCGGGTGATGTTAATTATGTTGTATGATAGAGACGAAAGCATTCATGGGAGGCACTGTTGTCATCTTTGAAGTAACTTCTTTCCCGGTTCTACGGTTTCCTTACCTGTAAAATGGGTTAATAATATAACCTATCTCATACGGTTATGAGAATAAAATGAATTGATACGGAAATCACTTAGAATACATCCTGATACAAAGTCAGTGCTAGCCACATTTTGTATGTACTTTGAAGTCTGATATTGTTTCAATATATTTTGCATTTCTAAAAACTTGAACATTTCATTGCAAAGCGCTTTTCACCTGCAATGATTACTTACTCGACTTTCCTCAGCTACTTTAGTGAGACACGCCTCCTACAGGCCACAGGTGAGGCTTATTTCCAGCTCCTGAAAACCCTACAGACCTCAGTTGGAGAGCTGGTGCGCCTCTGACTCACACACCGCTTCTGTTCCACACCTAATTCTTCTGAGAAGAATCTCTTCTAATTTATGTAGGCTCGCAGCTGTTTTTGCGTGTGTGCATTCACTCATTCTAATTCCAGTTATTTTTCGGGGCGCGAGGCGTGGACGGGGAAGAACTGAAGACAGAACCTGTCTTTACCCGAATTGACGTCCCATAGAAAAAAAATATGTACTGTACAGAGGCAAACTAACGTTCATCTTTTAGCTTCTATTTTCTCATCTGTAAAATGGGGGTAATACCTCACGGGGTCGCTGAAAGATCAAACAAGAAGAAAATAGAGCCTCTAAGAGTGCTTTGGCTGCGAAAGCAGTTCCGTAAACGCCCATTCCTCCCTTCCTCCGCCCGTTCCAGTGTGATTAGCCCAGCCCTGTGGATTAAAGCGTCACACTCTTGGGAGTGTGGAAATTTCTGCCGCTACCCTTCCAATTCCCAAGTTTCAATCGTCCAAAGCTACAGACTGCATATACAGGCGGGCAGCTTTTAAGCTGGAGACCCAAACAGTCGTATTTAAAAAACTTAAGCTTCCAAAGCGGCTTAAAATCCCTCAGTAAGCCAGGAGCGCCTCAGTAAGCATGCGCAGGGCGCGCGCTGGGTGGGCGGGAGGTCCGGAGGGCGGGCTTTGTGGTCCAGTCACTTCCGTTTCCGGCCCTATACGAACTCTCCCGCCATCTGAGAAAAGTGCTTGCCGGCGTTTCTGCATACAGCGTTTGGTGTGTCTACAGGTAAGAGGGTCTCATGCGGTTTTACCACGGACAGTTATCTTGGTGTTAAGGCTTGCAGGTCGAGAAAGAAGGTAGAGCACTGCGAGCTGTGGGAACAGAAGGATGACCTGCTGGACTGGGAGTATTGGGTATTGGTTGGTTGAGGCACGGACGCAGGTGCCAGCGAGCTGAGGGGAGAAGAGCTTTCCCCGAGGAGGGCTCAGGTAGGATTGAAGAGGGTAATTTTTATAAGGAGCTTGCAGATGTTTCCTAAAAGGGGTTTGGAAGGACTGGATTAGAAGGACTATTTCCCGGGGTCATAATATAGGAAGTGAGTAGCTGGACCCGGTCCATTAAGTCTCCTCTCTGGAAAGCCAGAATCTACCGCGCTTTCCTCCGAATTTACGATTGCAACGGGCATAACATCTCAACTCTTGGGACTGTAGAGATCTAAGGACGGTGGCACACAGACCTATAGTGAACTGGCAACATTGCCTGAATTTGATGTTGCTGGAAGTTATGACCACCACCTGCGTTGCGTTTCACCTTGCACCCTCCGCTTATTACAGAATTGTTGCCGGTGTGTTGTAGACTATCTGGAAAATACAGAAAGACCCATTTCCCCGGGATAACCACTGTTAACATTTTATGCATGCCCTTCAGTTGTTTTCTGTGTATGTGGAGTTGGTTTTTGCACTTGTTGTTTTCAGCTCCATTTGCCATCATTTTAACCCTTTTATGTTTCCTTCCAAGATAATGAGATGCAGTTTTCTGGAGGAAATCGGAAAAGACTGAGGTTGGGAGGTGACCAAAGGAATGCCTCCTACCCTCATAGCCTTCAGTTTTACTTGGAGCCACCTTCCGAAAACATCTCTTTGATTGAGTTTGAAAGCTTGGCTATCGATAGAGTTAAATGTGAGTGATATTTGAATTAGAGTTTATATATCGAGAACTTTGCTTATAATTTGTGGAAATGAAGGAGGGTAATTTCCTTCATTCAGTTCATTCTTGAAATATTTATTGAGGGTTTGCTATTTACTGTTCACTGTATATTTATTGAGTGCTACTATATTCTAGGGTGGGGATTTCCAGGTGAATAATATAATTCTCATATTCGTTGAAGCTGTATTCTAGTACATACATAAAGGCATCCAAAATAATAATCATAATTTAGTATTTTAAGTGCCTTATTAGAGGTAGATAGTAATGATCTTAAGACAGAAGTAAGGGTGACTTAATTTGAGTAAGTAAGACTTCTTAGAGAGGTTGAAGTGTGATCTGAACCTTGAAGGATGAGTAGAAATTTCTCAAAAGAGAAGTAGTGAAAGGTTTTTTTTTTTTTTTTTTCAGTCCAAGATAATGGACTGTACCAAGGCTGGGAGGCATAAGAAAGAATGTTATGTTTGAGGGAACAGTGACAAGTTCAGAGGAAATGGAGAAGAGTGGATAACCAAGGGCATTTTTTTTCTTTGCCAAGCTAACAGTGTAACATTGGGGTGTAAGAAGGATATGGCCTGCATATTCTTTGTGTGTTAGTGGAAGAAAGAAGTAAGCTAGGCAGGAACTGAAACAGAAATAAAAGCAGTGTCTTCTGAGTTTATGTTCCAGGAAATCCCTGTGGGAAAATCAGAAGGTAAGGTGAAATACTGTTCATCATTTTTACAGGAGCAGAGTGACAGCTGCTGATAACAGAGAGGGTACACTCAGTGCCTTTTGACTGACAGAGTGAAGACAAGGGAGAAAAGAGTTTTAAGAACCTTAGCAATGTCAGATGCTTCATAGAGATTAAGCGGATGCTTGAAAAATGTCCCTTGGATTTGGCACTTAACTGGTGAGATAGTAAGTGCCTGAACTAAGGCAGTGGCAGAGGTAGGAAGGGTGAGATTTAAGGGATACCGAGGAGGCACTCTTGACAGGATTTAGGAATTATTTGGATGTGAGGAGTGAGGGGGCTGGGGGGGGCGGGGTGGCTGAAATTCCAGTCTGGATGGTCTGGTTAGAAACCGTTTTAGTGGAGAGGCACTTGGTGGCTCAGTCGGTTAAGCATCGGACTTTGGCTCAGGTCATGATCTCATTCCCGAGTTCGAGCCCCGCGTCGGGCTCTGTGCTGACAGCCGGAGCTTGGAGCCTGCTTCCGATTCTGCCTCCCTCTCTCTCCGCCCCTCTCCTGTTCACATTTTGTCTCAAAGATAAGTAAAAATTAAAAAAAAAAAAAAAGAAAAGAAAGTGTGCTAGTGGAGATAGGGATGATAGGAAGAGGAGCAGGAATGAAGGGAAGATGATTAGTTTGACACACTGTAATAAGGAGGTACCTGTACGACATGGATTTATGTTCAGGATTCATTTTAGTAGTTTTTCATCCTTGAACTACAAAAATGTTTTTCATATTGATGGAAGTAGAATTCAGCTGAAGAAGAATTGACAAGGTGCTTTGGAGCCTTTGAACAATGTGTGCATCTAATCAGGACAGTTCATTTGAAAAGGAAGGGCTATTTTTTCTGATGAGTCTGTGCTGAGTAAATGAAGCAAACCTACAGACCTGCATAAGGGATGCAAACAAGGGTACTTAATCTTTTCTTTTCATACCAACACACTTGCATTCTTGGACAATGGCGGCTCAGTACAACAGTGATTATTCCCCATCCCTCACTATCTGAGAATCCCAGGTATTAAATTACATTATGGGACATGGATATTTTCTGCACATTGATGGAGATTATCTTCGTTTAAATTTATATAATTTTTATAATGTACTTGCAGAAAATAAAACTATTAAAACTTGTTATCTTTTAGTTAATTTATTTTTTTAAGTTTATTTTGAGATACAGAGAACACAAGCAGGGGAGGAACAGAGAGAGGAGAGAGAAAATCCCAAGCAGGCTCCTCTTTCTCAGTGCAGAGCCCCTATGTGGGGCTTGAGCTCCTGAACTGTGAGATCATGACCTGAGCTGGAATCAGGAGTTGAACGTTTAACTTACTGAGCCACCCAGGTACCCCTATAACTTGTTATCTTTTAAAAACAAATAATTATGGAATTGTTCATAGACTTTGTCATGGGATTTAGTTTTTAAAAACTATCTTGGGGTGCCTGGGTAGCTCAGTCGGTTGAGTATCTGACTCTTGATTTCACCTCAGGTCATGATCCCAGGGTCCTGGGATTGAGCCCTGTGTTGGGCTGCATGCTGAGTGTAGAGTCTGTTTAAGATTCTGTCTCTCTCTCTCCCTTGCCCTCTCCCTCCCACTCCCTTTCTCCTTTCCTTTCCCTCTTTGTCCCTCTTACCTGCTTGTGTGCTTGCTGTCTTCTAAAAATAATCATCTTGCATTCATACATTTTTTTTCTTTCTGATGTTTTTAAAATTTTCTAGTGCTAAAAACAGTCGAAAATCTTGGTGTGAGCCATGTGAAAGGAACCGAGCAATACCAGAGTAAGTTGGAGGCTGAGATAAGAAGGCTCAAGTTTTCTTTCAGAGTAAGTAAAAGTGGGAAAAAAATGTTCTTCAGTTTGTGTGTATTTATATACTGAGACTTGGTTTTGGAAAAGATCTTGTATTAGGCACAGGACTTTTAAAAACACTAAAATAGCATGGGCTGAAGGTATATCTGTAGTCCACTAGGAATGATTGACATATATAGTCAGATGATTAAAATACAACAGGGTTTCTCAACCTCGGGATGACTGACATTTGGGGCCTTGGTGCAGGGACTGTCTTGTGCATTGTAGGATGCTCAGTAGTATCTCTGGCTTCTACCTGGTAGATATCTCCAGACATTGCCAAATAGACCCTGTGTGCCACAGGATGAGGGGTGCTGTTATTACATGTGTGTTCCAGGAACTCCAAGAGCACATGTGATTACTCAGCCCAGATTGGGAAGGTTTGGGAAGGTGTTAAAGTTTCAGGTAGTGCTGGAACTGAATTTTTTTTTTTTTAATGTTTTATTTATTTTTGAGAGAGAGAGAGAGAGAGAGAGAGAGACAGACAGACAGTGTGAGCAGGGATGCTTAACCTGCTGAGCCACTCAGAGTCCCCATGGAACTGAATCTTGATAGATGTGGTCAGGTTTTTGTTTTGAGAAGATAGGAGATTGAGAGGGCCATGTCTGGTAAGAGGAAAACTAAGTAGCTTGGACATAATGAGAGTGATTTGAATTGGAGAAAAGGATGAGAGTGATTTGAATTGGAGAAGAGGACTGGTATAAGGATATTATGAAGGTATAATCCAAAGATTATAGTGACTGATTACAGGGAGAAGGGACAAGAGAGTTATTGAATGACACCTCAGGTTTCTGATTAGGACAACTCTGGATGGTGATAGTATTTTGAAAGGTGACATGGAGGAGAAGCAAGTCTTAGAAGAAAGATCTTGAGTTCTAGACATGAATTTGAGGGCTCATGGAGATGTGTAGTAGATAATTAGATATACATACAGCTTGGACTTAGGAGACTTCTGGAGTTGGGAGTGTGGATTTAAGAGGAGGGTTGGAGTCATCAGGAGGAGGGAATATTTGAGTGAGAAGATGATGGAGGACAGGATGTGAGGAATACCAGTATTTAAGGTGAAGTAGAATTGGGGGAGTCTGGGGAAGAGATTGAGAAGGAGCTGCTTGAGAGGTAGGAGATCAACAGGGATCATAGTGGCCTGGTAGCCAAGGAAGTTTGGAGTTTCCATAATGATGATCATGCTGTAAATACTGATATCATAGGAATAATAACAGCAAGCATTCGAATCATGCGTAGCATATCCCAGTTTATCCTAAGCATGTTACATCTATTAACTATGTAATACAGTTGACAGTCTTATGAAGTAAGAACAATTATCATCCCTATTTTATAGATAAAGGAACGGAGTTATTGATAGGCCGAGTAACTGGCCCACGCTTATGAGATGGTAAATGGTGGAGCCAAGATTAGAACTGGACATTTTGTCTCCATGGTGATACTCTTAACCACTTAATTTCAGAAGCTTAGGCTCATGTCAGATGAGTTGTACAGAATGCATTGGATTTATCAATTGAATGGGGCCTTGTAGATAGAAGGAGAAGCTAAAATGAGGATGGTGTTTGGAGGACAGAGGTGCGTATTGAATATGTATCTTTTAAGATGAAAAGCTGCTTTTAGCTGAAAAGACAGAGGAGAAATAGGTCTGAAATAGAAGAATTTGTAGGGAAAAGAGAAAACACAGAAGAGGAGATTCTTGCACAAGCTTATAAGCTGAGTGAAGACATCTAGAAGAGAAAGAAGAGATGGGGAGTTTGAAGATACTTTGAGAGAGCATTTGATAAATCATGATCCTTAGGAGTCAAGAGCAAATGGATTGCATGACTTAGGTTTAGGGATGAGCTTATGCAGGAGGTGGGGGAGATTCTTTGTCCATAGAGATGGAAAGGAAGGTAATACAGTGGATGCACAAGCTTGGAGCTGAAGAAATTGGCCTGGTGGCCTTTGTTTTCGTAAAGTAAGTGATGTTATCTGTTGAAAGAGAAGATGGTGTGGTAGGGAGCTTGGGTCAACTAGTGAAGACTGAAACAGTTTTTCTAAGAGTGAAGAAAGAGATGATTATGTGTCAAACCCCTGTTTTATTGCCTAATAAGTTTTGTGACTTTGGAAAAATTATAGACCATCCCCAGGCCTCAGTTTCCTTATCTTAAAAATTTTTTTATTAATGTTAATGTATTTTTGAGAAAGAGACAGAGTGTGAGCACGGGAGAGTCAGAGAGAGAGGGAGACAGAATCTGAAGCAGGCTGCAGGCTCTGAGCTATCAGCATAGAGCCTGATTATTTGGGGCTCTAACTCACAAACCGTGAGCTCATGATCTGAGCTGAAGTTGGACACTTAACCGACTGAGCCACCCAGGCATATTTAAGATAGGGATATAGTAGTGCTTACCTCATAAGAGTTTTTTTTTTTTTTTTTTTAAAGGATTAAATGGGTTAATGGATTAAAAATGCTTATGGCAGTGCCGTGAGTGTATGTCATAAGTGCTCAAGACCTATTTGCTCTTACTGTGTTGGACTTGAATAAGGATTTATTGGTGCTTGTAAAAGTCCAGTTCAGGTTAGAGGTTGTGAATTTTAATATTCCAAATTGTCAGTAATTGTGTATTTTATCCCCCTAGAGATTCTTAGTGTTTTGGGAATGGAACTATAGAGTTTAGCGGTAGATTTATTTAGAATCTAGATTTTGCCAAATGGTTGAATGAAGGTGTATGCCAGAGGTGGTTGAAGAGGGGAGAACCTTGGATATAGATTGGGTAAGAAAGAAAGTTAAGACGGGAGTTGATAGGAAGAGAGAGTCTAAACCCAGGAGGTTTTGTTTGAGATCAGTTCAGATCTCTGTGTCAGTTGTTTGCTAACGTAAGTAAAATGATAATTATCTTTGAAAGCATATTATGAAATTAGTTTTTCAAACTTTTAACATTGGCTTATATAGACTCTATTTTTCTTTATACCTCTTACCATTCTAATGCCTTTATTTTATTCATGTGTCATTATTTTTAAGGAAAACGTAGAAAATGAATATGAACGCCGAAGAAGAGATCATATTTCTCACTTTATTTTACGCCTTGCTTATTGCCAGTCGTGAGTATACATTTAGACTCTCATAGTCAAATCTGCTATCTTGGATTACAGATTGGTACATGGGAAGCTGACCTGTATTGTACTGCACATAGAAAAACTCAGAATAACATCAGAAACTGGTAATTTATGAGTTGAACGCTGTTGTTGCAAATTGGTTGAAGCTAGTTGTTTACTACAAAATATTGAAAAAAAATTCTGTTGTAAAAGTTGTCTGTTGAAACACTTTTTAGTTTCATGGGAGAGGCTCTTCATTTGGGATTTGAAGTTGTGGGTGTAGGGAGGATTTCAGCAAGAAGGACTTCTTGGTCCTTTTTTTCCCAGAAAAAATGTGGCACTATGTATAAGAAATAAAGACTCAAACATATACTTGAATTTGGTACGGGTGTAAGATATTTTCCCTTTTCTAGCTGGTTTCTTATAAGTCTATAGTGCCACCCAGAGGGAGAAGGAGTTAGTTGCCTTTTTTAAAAAAAACTGTATTTATTTTTTCTGTACTAATTTTGGCTAAATAACATACTTATTGTAAGTTTCTTTTCTGTTTGTTTCTATAAGGGACTTACCAAATGAGAATCTTGAATTGTTTACTATCCCACTTCTCCCTGGACAGGTGGTCCTATCCAGGACCACCTTTGTTTTTTTTTTTTTGTTTTTTTTTTAATGTTTTATTTATTTCTAGGAGAGAGAGAGAGAGACAGAGACAGCGTGAGCAGGGGAGGGTCAGAGAGAGACGGAGTGACAGACTCCGAAATGGGCTCCAGGCTCTGAGCCGGAAGTCAGCACAGAGCCCGACGCGGGGCTCGAACCCACGAACCGCGAGATCATGACCTAAGCGAAAGTCGGACGCTTAACCGACTAAGCCACCCAGGTGCCCCATCCAGGACCACCTTTGGTCCTGGATGTTTTCTTTTGTAAAACTGCATGTGCAGTTTATGTAATTTATGCAGTGAACGAATTGCTGACAATCTGTGAAAGTCCCTTTTGAAAAAAACCTAAATCATATTTTACATAATAGTAGTATAATTATTTTGTGATAATAATATCCATTATATATTTCGTGAATTTATATTTGTAGGTTGTCAATTTCAAAAATCGAGATATACTTGTGCTTATTAAATTTTGTGAAATTATTAACTGTAAAGCTCTAAGCAAAGTTTACTTTCAGAGTTTATCTGGTCATAATCTATTCAGAGATAAAGTGACCTTAAAAAATTTGGTGTTGAGGGGCGCCTGGGTGGCTTAGTCGGTTAAGCGTCCGACTTTCGCTTAGGTCATGATCTCTCGGTTCGTGGGTTCGAGCCCCGCGTCGGGCTCTGTGCTGACTGCCAGCTCAGAGCCTGGAGCCTGTTTCAGTCTGTGACTCCCTCTCTCTCTGACCCTCCCCTGCTCACGCTGTCTCTCTCTCTCTCTCTCTCTCTCCTAGAAATAAATAAAACATTAAAAAAAAAAAAAATTTGGTGTTGATTTGGCACTGATGAAACCACCTGAGACTGAAGGAATATCCCCATTTTCTTTTTTTTAATATTTATTTATTTTTGAGACAGAGCATGAGTGGCAGAAGGGCAGGGAGAGAAGGAGACACAGAATCTGAAACAGGCCTCAGGCTCTGAGCTATCAGCACAGAGCCTGATGTGGGGCTTGAACCCACCAACTGAGATCATGACCTGAGCCAAAGTCAGACGCTTAACTGCTTAACCAGTGAGCCACCCAGGCGCCCGTAAGAATACCCCATTTTCTGATGTAAATGACCGTTTTGCAGTTAAATGCGATGAACTATTTTCTTTTATGTTGTCGGATAATCAGCTAGGCTCAAGGTATTCTGTATTTAATTCTATTCATAATACCTCTCCCGATGTTCATCATATCCCTGAAGATTGTGGTGTGTATGTAATAAAGGACTTGTGTGCTTTTAAACTTCTATTGTTGGCATCTTGCTCATATTTGGATTTTATTTTATAAAATTTTCTTGGATTTAACAATCTGTGGACTTTTAAAATAATCATTGGGCTTTTCATTTATGGTTATCATTTCCCTGTCTCCATTCAGTGAGGATCTTAGACGCTGGTTCATTCAACAAGAAATGGATCTCCTTCGATTTCGATTCAGCATTTTACCCAAGGACAAGATTCAAAGTTTCTTAAAGGATAGCCATTTGCAGTTTGAGGCTGTAAGTATAGTTTTGTAGCCATTTTCTGTTGTTTCAACATTCATCCCTTCCCATTCACCTTAAGTGCTAGTATTAATGTGTGGTGTTCTTTCTCTTTACATTTTCTTAAGTACTTGCCTGAAAGAGTAGGTATGGACTTTGCACAGCAGTGAAACTTGGCCTTTCTATGACTAGAAGAAAAGGGGCTCCTTAGTACTAAAGTTTCACATTTAGTTGCTTTATTAAATATATGACTTGTGAAAGCACAAAAAGATTTAATTTTAAGTGTTCGTCTTTAACTAAAATCTTCGAGGCCAAAAACTTGAAGCTATTAATATATTACAGAGAATAGAGAAGTGGTAGTATTTACTTCTAATGATAACGTTTAATTTAGACTTCACTTGAAAAGTCAGTTGTCTGTAAAATCTCTGAATAGTTAAATTATTCTGCAGACAAAATGATTGACATACTGTAACCGTATAAGAAAGAAATGCCTGGGATATGTTTAGCAGGTATAAATATTATAGGTGGAAATAGGATTTATGTCTTTTAGGTGGATCTCGATTGTAGTGGGAAGGCAGAAAAATTCTGTTGTGGAAGACAGACTCAGATGGTAGTAGCATTGGGTGAATCTTGAGTTTGGTGTTAGAGTGAGTAACTTAAGGCCTAATAAAGTAGAAGTTGGAGTGAAAGACATGGTCTGAGAAGTGGAAAATGCACCCACTGTGTACAGGAACAGTGTACAGGTTATTGAGTTGGTGGAAAGAGATGTCATGAAGGGAAGTAAACAAACATTTGATAAGCATTTAGTGTCTAGCATGTCCTAGGGAGGCACTTTCAAATTCCTCTCCCTTCTCATAAGAGGCCAGTGAGATTTCTAAATAACGTCTATGTGGGCACAGAAAAGTGTCAAGCTCAGATCATCTGACCCAAGCCCCATGCATTTTTCCCCTTGTTTTAATTTCGATCCTTAGTGAAGTCCATTATTGCCAATTGAGTTGCAGCTACTTTATCCCTTCATAATAAAAATAGTTTATATTTTCCTGTGGAAATGAATAGAGGAGTGTCTTTGAGAAGATCTATTTTTTATTCTACAGGGTCTCCATGTATTGTCGAGTGTAACTTTTTAAAGCAAAAGCCATATTTCTTTTTAAAAAAACTTTAAAATTTGAGATGTTTGTGTAGCACTGGCAGTTAAGCATCCAACTTTTGGTTTTGGGTCAGGTCATGATTTCACAGTTCATGAGATTGAGCCCTGCCTTGGGCTCTGTGCTGACCGTGGGAGCCTCTTTGGGGTACTCACTGTCCCCTTCTCTCTGCCCCTTCTCCAAATGTTCTCTCTCTCGCTCTCAAAATAAATAAACATTAAAAAAAACAACTTTAAAATTTAAGTGTAACACACACAGAAAAGTGTACAAATTGTAATTCTGCAGCTCTATGAAGCATCACAAAGTGAACATTACCAAAATAAGTAGAATGTTGCTGTCATCTGTGCACCTTATGCGTTCTACCATTCACTGCCTCCTGTCTTCCACCAAAAATTAGCCACTGGCTGACTCTTAATATCATAAGTAATTCTGTGTGTTTTTTGGACTTTATGTAAGTGGTATCATACAGTATGTCTTTCCTCGCCAGCTTTATTGAGACCTAATTGACATATAATGTGTAAGTTGAAGGTGTTGGATGTGATGATTTGATACATGTATGCATTGTGAAATGTTTTACCACAATAAGGTTAGTTAACACATTCTTCACTTCACATAATTACCATTTTGTCGTGGTTTTGGTGAGAACATGTAAAATTTACCCTCATGGCAACTTTTCAGTTACATAAATACAGTATTGTTAACTATATCCACTATGATATTCTACTCGAAGTTTGTACTTTTTTTTTTTTTTTTGATAGAGTTAGAGAATAAGGTGGGGAAGGGGCAGAGAGAGAGAGGGGGGGAGAGAGCAAGAGAGAGAGAGAGAGACAGAGAGAGACAGAGACAGACATACAGACAGGATCCCAAGCAAACTCCACACTGTCAGCACAGAGCCTGACATGGAGCTTGAATTCACAGTGAGATCATGACCTGAGCCAAAACTAAGAGTCAGGTGCTTAACTGACTGAGTAATCCAGGTACCCCATGGAAGTTTGTGTCCTTTGATCAACATCTCATTTCTTCCCTTCCAGTGCCCCCTGATAGTCACCATTATTTTCTTCTATGCATTTGGCTTTTTTAGATTTCATATGTGAGATCACAGGTATAATGTAATAGCTTTATTGAGATAGCATTTACATACCTTGAAAGTCACCCTTTTAAAATATACAATTTATTGGGGCACCTGGGTGGCTCAGTTGGTTGAGCGTCCGATTTCGGCTCAGGTCATGATCTCACGGTTCGTGGGTTCGAGCCCCGTGTCGGGCTCTGTGCTGACAGCTAGTCTGCTTCAGATTCTGTATCTCCCTCTCTCTCTGACCCTCCCCTGCTCATGCTGTCTGTCTGTCTGTCTCTCTCTCAGAAATAAATAAAAAACATTAAAAAAGGTACAATTTATTGGTTTTTAGTATAATCACAGAGTTGTATAGCAATCACCACCGTCTAATTTTAGAACATTTCATTATCTTACCCATTAGCAGTCAGTTTCCATTTCTTCCTCTCATCCCTTGGAAACTACTAATCTACTTTCTGTCTCTGAATTTGTCTGTTCTGGACATTTCATATAAATGGAGTCATGTAACTTATGGTCTATTGTTGCTGGTTTGTTTCACTTAGCATAATTTTTTTTTAAATTGTAATTAGCATAGAGTGTTGTGTTTCAGGTGTACAATATAATGATTATAGAATTCTCAGTGCTCTTGCAGTAAGTGTGTTCTTAATCCCCCATGTCTGTTTCATCCATCATGCCGTCTGGCAGCCACCAGTTTGTTCTCTGTATATGAATCTGTTTTTTGGTTTATTTCTTTTTTCTTTGTTTCTTAAATTCCACGTATGAATGAAATCATACGGTATTTTTCTTTCTCTGATTGATTCATTTAATTTAGTGTTATATTCTCTAAGTTCACCCTGTTGTTGCAAAGGGCAAGGCTGCATTTTTTTTAATGACTGAATAATCCTTGTATAATATACCACATCTTTTTATCCATTCATCTACGGGTGAACACTTGGGTTGCTTTTATATCTTGGCTTTTGTGAGTAATGGTTTGTTTAGCACAATATTTTAAAGTTTTATCCATGTTGTAGCATATATCAGTATTTCAATGTTTTTTTATTGTCAAATAATACTTCTCTGTTCAGCAGTTGATGGACTTTGGGTTTCTGCATTTCGGCTAATAGAAATAATACTGTAGTGAATATTTGTGCACAAGTTTTTGTGAATGTCTATTTAAGGTGTGTATGATATCTGGGAGTGGAATTACTTGGTTCTAGGGTAATTAATTCTGTGCTTAAACTTTTGAGGAACTGACAAACTTTTTCAAGGTGGCTGCACCATTTTACATCTTAGTGGTATATGATGGTTTCACTTTCTCCACATTCTTATCCACAGTTGTTACTTGTTTTTGAATGTAGCCATCCTAATGGATATGAAATGATAACATCACTGTGGTTTTGATTTGCATTTCTCTAATGACCAGTGATGCTGTGCATCTTTTCATGTGCTTATTGGTTATTTGTATATCCTTGGGGGAATGTCTTTTCAAGTCCTTTGTACATTTTTTTAATTGAGTCCTCTTTTTATTGTTGAGTGTTAATTCTTTACATATTCTGGATACTAGTCCATTGTAAGATCTATGATTTAGAAATATTTTCTCCAGTTTTTAGGATTATCATTTCACTTTGATGGTTATCTTTTGCAACACAAAAGATTTTATATGAAGTCTCGTCTGTTTTTCTTCTGTACTTTTGGTGTCAGATCTAAGAAGGCTTTGAAGGAAGGTCATGAAGATTTACTCCTATGGCTTTCTCTACGGGTTTTATAATCTCAGTTCTTATATTTGGGTCTATAGTTCATTTCGGTTAATTTTTGTATATTATATGAAGTAGGAGTACAACTTCATTTTTTTGCATGTGGATATCCAGTTATCTGGCATCATTTGTTGAAACAGCTATTCTTTCCTCATCAAATTGTTACTCTTGACTATAAGTTGGTTTATCTGGACTCTTCATTTTTGTTTCTTGGAGCTATAGACTTATTATGGCAGTACTATTAGGTCTTGAATATTGACTACTGTAGCTTTGTAGTAAGATTTGAAATTGAGAAGTAGGTGTCCTCTTTATTTCTCTTTTTTCAAGATTATTTTAGTTCCTTGCATTTTCTTAAGAATTTTAGGATTCACTTACCACTTTCTACAAATATGTCAGCTGGGATTCAGACTGGGATTGCAGAGAATATGTAGATCAATTTAGGGAGTACTGCCATTTTAGTATTAAGTCTTATTCATGAATGTGGGATGTTTTTTGTTTTTAAATTATTTAAAAAATTTGTATTATAGAGAGAGTGCAAGTGAGAGAGAGGCAGAAGATGAGAGAGGGAGAATCCCAAGCAGACTCCATGCTCAGCACAGAGCCCAATGTGGGGCTCCATCCTTGGTCCCTGAGATCATGACCTGAGCTGAAATCAAGTTGGACACTCAACCAACTGAGCCACCCAGGTGCCCGCCGTGTCCTTTATTTCTTAAGATTTTCTTTAATTTTTCCCAAGAAGATTGAGTACTATTTTTTTTTAAATTTATACCTATTTTATTCTTTAATGTCATTCTAAGTGGAGTTGTTTTCTTTATTTCATTTTTGGAATGTTTATTGCTAGTGTATAGAAGTCCAGTTAATTTTTGCATGTTGATCTTGTATCCTGCAACCTAATGGGACTCTGTTAGTACTAATAGGTTTTAGTGGATTCCTTAGGAGATTATGTCTCACAAATAGAGATAATCTTACTCCTTACTTTCCAATCTGGAGGTTTTTTTATTTCTCTGTTTTTGATTAATTTCTCTGGCTAGAATCTCCAATATAATGTTGAATGGAAGTGGCAGTGGTGGACATGCTTTCTTGTTC